ATATATATAAATATCCCACAAAGCAAATTATTTCAAAAGTATTTGTGAAGAAAACAGTGAATTCAATCATGCAAGTAAATTTTGTCCATGTTACATCTTCGTTAGCAATCTCTTTTTTTTTTAAATTCACCATAAATTTCTATTTTACATTTTTTGCATGAGCTCCATATTTACACAATATATCTATCTTTGGTACCGTTAGGTAAATAAGACTATCCAATCTGTCAATCATGTTTCTCCGTGTAAATAGAAATTACACCAAATTCCTATTTTTAGTTTAATATTTCGAGTTTGGTGAAGTAAACTTCGTGGCGCATTAAAGTGGCGCATTCTCTTGCATTATACTTTTGGTCTAACTAAACCAAACTCTGGTAAGACTGTTGATATGTGGGAAAATGCGGCTTCATTCGAATGAAGGGAAAACGAAAAAAGAAAGAAAAAAAGAAATAGGAATTTGCTAGTAATGTCACATAATCGTATGACAGAACAAGTGAAACAGATTAGAAGGTCTTGTTGGCCGCTAATTGCTATCCTTAGCTAACCTAAACTAATTTTATAAATGTAATGAGACTTCGATAAGGATTATTATAATGGCCGCCAATTACCACGGGTTACGCAAGCGCAGTTGCACAATGGGGTCGCCAAATAATTATGCCTGACTTAAATACAACTCTTGGTATCATTCAGTAAATTATATTCAGTGACATTTTTGATGTGGCGATACAAATTTTCAGTTCCTGAGAAATGAACAGCAACTATATTATTCCGGCAGCACGGTAATTTGCATACATTACTTGCTAAGACGGCAAAATGATTGTTATGTTGTGGTTTAATACCGATAAGCCAAAAGAGAATTCCATAATACACGTCTTGTATATGGAACATACGTATGTGAAGCGATTGTTCATACATTCGTTGTGCGACATCCTGTGATACAATACAAGTTACCCCGACAATAAATGGCGGGTAATATTTATATGGCCACTGCTGCTTAGTAGAACGATTTTTCGCAGTTTGGTTCCTCAATGCAAAGGCATGCGGAAATACTCTTCCAATTGCAACATTGCGTGGAGGAGCAGACTCGAGTAGCATAACTGTATTTTTCAGAATAACTAGAACATCATCGTCTGTTTTTAAAATGTACTTAGCTCTACGACAGTGGTGTACAGCCCATTTCAATAACATCGCTGCTTTCAGCGTTACATTTTGGTAATTATCAAATGCATCGATTAAAATAATGTCTTCGTATTCTAGATACTCCATGTGGAGATGTCTGATGACATTGCCTGTGTCATTAGCTTGCTTCCCGACAATAAACAACTGGACTACCTTATGTTCTGCTACATTGGTGATATTTCCTCTGTGATTTCTGATAACTTCACGGGCTTTAAAATGTGTCGGTGCACTCAGAGTTATCATGAGAAGAAATGGTGGGTCAATGCAGTGATGTGACGGATTCTCAAGAAATTCAAAAGGTAATACATATGCAGTGTCAAGATTTAAAAATGTTAAATTGAATATGGTTTGCTTGTTTTCCCTTTTAATGGCAATTGGAACAGCTGTAGACTCGTCATCATTCAACAGCTCGCGGTCCAACATGATAATGAAGATCATTGATATGACGAGAACGATGAGTAGTGCAGTCTTTAGCCATTCCAACTTGCTTATCATATTGACAGATTATCTATTTCAGAAGCTTCCGATTCCAATCTTGTGATGTGATAATGATATCGG